AGTTACATAGAGTTCAAAGCCAGGTTTGACTTTGCCACAAAATCCAACATCAAAAGTGAATGCCTATACTTGAAGTGAAAAGATAAGTTGTAAACAGGGTCATATATTAGTTATTTGGAAATTGTTTATGACACTTGGCCATCTTCAGATCAATAAGTTCAAAATGTAATCCCCAGGAGTATTTATTTCTCTTTAAAACTTTATTTTTTTAATCCAATAACAATAGCCAAAACTCATCTCCATTCAAAGTTAATCACCTCCAACCTTTATGGCCCTATAAAAATCTCCAGGTGAGAAAGATTATCTTCCTCCCGGACCTCCTTTGCAGTACAGGACAGTAGGAAGCCATGCTGATCTGATCCCTGCCTTCTACCTTTGCTGACTCTCACACTCCTGTTATTCTCACACCTGTAGAAATTTTACATGCTACTCTATCTTTCATATTTTGTTTTCATCTACTTACTGACTATATTGCATTACTTTCATCTCCTCAGAGAGATTAACTCATCTGAAGTGATTTCCCTCAAGTTAAAAATCACAACTATTTCCTCAGTATTCACTTCAAATGAAACTACAGGGTGATTTTGGTTAATAAAATAAGTTCTCATGCTTTTCATGTTACTTTATACTAAGGTCTTTTTGTTGTTGCGGATATATTTTAGAATTTTTGTTCTTTTTTTTTGGAGACTGGGTTTCTCTGAGTGCTGGAAATAAAGGCTTGTGCCACCACTGCCCAGCTACATTATGGGATTTTAGTGTTTATTTTTGTTTTAAAACAGGGTCTCTCATGTATTCCAGGCTGCTGCATGAATTGCTATGGAGCCTGAAGACAAACTTGAACTTCTGATCCTCTGGCCTCTTCCTCCCAGAGCTCAGAGTGCAGTGTGTGGCACCATGCCCAGTTTATTCTCTGCTGGGAACTGACTTTGGGCCGCTACAGTGGTAGAAAAGAGTTCCATCCAGCTCCGTTTCTTACACATTACATCACTTATGAACAAACTGTCTTTGGGCTTCTAACTTCCAACATAATCTGTTTTCCTTTTGCCACTTAAATCTCCAGTTTTCTTTCTACATTTCTCAGAGTTAGGCAAATGATCCAGATTTTTCCAGGTGTCCATGTTTGTGGAAGTGAGTTGACTTATTTGAACACAGAGATTGTGATTTTTTTTTTAATATGATACTTGGCTCTTTGAATTATGGAAGACAGGATGGAGACACAGTTAGGTTGGCAGAGTGCTAGCTAATCACACACAAGGCCCTAATTCTCCATACCAGAGTCCCAAGTGGTAGCACATGTCTGTAATTCCAAAACTCCAGGTGAGTGCAAGTGAATCAGAATTTCCAGGTCATCCTTGGCTCTACACAGTTTAAGGCCAATCAGAGCTACATGATAATCTGTCTTGAAGAAAGAAATTGTTTAAATCCAGGAAAGGAAAATTTAAATAATCCAATATCTAATACACTAGAAACAACAAACATAAAAATCTTTAAAGAAAATAGATCATTACAGGTAGGTTAATTTTAGTAGCTGTTCACCATTAATAAAATCATCATGAAGTTATGGCATCATTTGCTATAAAATTCATGACAGTAACAGAAAAGGTATTTATGAGTCCAACATCCATTCTGGGTTCAAATGCATAGCTTTTCTCAGACACTAAATCCAATTTTACTCCTGTATCCTATGTTAATTGAAAGCTTTTTCTCTCTCTAGCTCTCTGCCTCTGCTGTGCACATGCCATAATGATATGCTTGCCGAGCAAAACAAAAAAGTTTCACAAAATTCAAAACAGTAGCTACGTAGCAGGTAAGCATGTTTATCTATATTAACAGTGTGAAGGGTAACCAACACAATCCCTGCCAAAAGCCAAAGTGGTACTACAAAATTTAGCATAAGGAAACCTTTCTGGTAGTGTTTGTACTCCAAGGACCGGCTTGTGCTTTTTTAGGCTAGCATGCTTAAGTATATACACTGAACACTGAATGTAAGTATTTCCTCCTGCAGTTAAAAATTCTTAATTTCCACTGCCGACTCAGTTTTAATTAGTCTTATTCACTCTAGGACACAGTCCCAGGTGGTCAAGTCAAACACAAAGGGGTCAGCCTACCTGGCCTCCACTCTGCATGTTCACCTCTCAGCACATTTCACCCTGGTGGTGACTGTGTTGGCCACAACTGACCATTTCTGAAACCCTCATCTTTTCCCTCTAGCCTGAAAAACATCTTTGATGGTTGTTGCAACATTTTCCATCTACCATCACTATAGCCTCTTCTGTTTACCCTTCAGCTGTCTTTGTTTAGTTGCTAGTTATGTATCCTTCCCCAAATAACAAATGAAATAAAACGTTTCCCTGTTGTTTTTCCAACTTCTGTGATTATAGACATGTGGCACCTGGTCCAGATTCTCCACTGCTGTTACTTAGTACTATGTGTACTCCATGTAAACAATATTTATTACAGACATGGCAGCAAAACAAAAAAGCAAGCTAACGTTTCCTCTTCCCATGGTCTACTGAGTCTGGTCTACTAAACTGCTGGAAAATATCCACAAGAGCAACAAGAAGCTTGCATTCTACACGATTATCACCGAACTTCTCTGTGTCAGTAATCATCTCAGCCTCAGCTCTGAGCCATTTCTTTCCATACCCCACAAATGCCTTTATTTGAAGATGCTCCCCTTTGGTATATCAAGAGTTCAGTTTGGCTGTAGCTTTCAAGGTGTGCTCCACCTGAGATACTCCATGAAAAGCACCAAGACAGAGCTCAGGCTTCGTAGAAGAGGTATTTACTTTTTACTTTGTAACACTTGAGGCTTGGCAATGAAGCTCCTTTAAGAACAAGAAAGTTAGCCGGTCACACGCTCTTAGTCTCAGCTCTCGAGAGGCAGAAGCAGGTGACTCTCTAAGTTTGAGGACAGCCTGGTACATAGATGGAGTTCTAGGACATCCAGGGCTACACAGAGAAACCCTGTCTAAAAACACAAACCAACCAACAAATAAATGAACAAGAACATTCCTACACAAAGAATCACAGGAAACTAAACAAAGTTAAGAGTAGGAAAATAGTCCTCTCAATTGCTTATCCAAAACTAAATGGTCTGCTTTGAAAACATGCATACAAGTAACAGTATACTGATTGAGACAATTCCTAAAGGTAACTATATATTTGTGTGTGTGTGTGTGTGTGTATAATAGTTAATTAAAAAAGAGGCCATAAATTTAGGAGAGAATAAAAAGAGTATATAGAAAGTTTTGGATGGAGGAAAAGGAAAGGAGAAATGCTTTAATTATTATAATATCAAAAAAATATTAAAATCAAACAAAAGTATATATGCATACAGACCCCCCCCAAAAAAAAAACAAGAAATGCATGCAGTTAAACTACCTGCAGCAGTAAGGTCCAAACACTACAAACATAAGTACATTTATCCTAACATGGAATCAGGAGTCTATGTTCTTCTGAGGCAGATTAGCTTGAATGTTCTGTGCTATTTAGATTTCAAGGTGTGACAGGACAACCTATGCTGCAATGTGCGTCTTGTTCCTGAATCTACCCCTAGTGAAATTATGCAGCTGGCCTTATGCAATGTTGCCCAATGTCAGATACTCTCCTAGGATCCATAGTAAGTACTCATTGCACTGACGGTATCTTCTCCTATCTTATTTGTCTTAAAGTTTTCATATTTTAAATGCATCTTCTCTTCATCCATATGTGTACATTTCCCATTTTTATGTCTAAGTGAAGTATTCTTATATAATAAGTGTACTCCTAAAACCAAGAGCATAACACAAACTTTTCATTGAGAATGCCATCTTATTATTATCTTAAAATTAGGAAATCAGTCTTGGGAAACATTAAAATTTTTATATTTTTAACACACACACACACACACACACACACCACTCTAGGACTGGTCATCAAATCCACTGAAATTTAAGTTACAGATGGTGATGAGATACCACGTAGGTGTGCTTGGAACCAAACCCAGGTCCTCTGCAAGAGTAACAAATGTTCTTAAACACTGTGACAACTCCAGCCTGCTTTAATAGTATTTTTAATGTTAACACAAAAATATTGAAATCGCAACTTTAAAGGAAGAATGCCTAAGCAATAGAGAGATGGCTCCGTGGTTCAAAGCAATGGCCAGTCTTCCAGACGAACCAGATTCAACTGCAAACACCCACAAAGGCAGTTTACAACTCTAGTTTATAACTCTAGCTCCAGGGAAATTCAATGGGACACGCAAGCAGGCAAAACACCAATGCCCATAAAATAAAAACAAATCAATTTTTAAAACTTAAAACGAAAAAAAAATGTGTATAGTACCACATCTCGCTTTCTCTATTCTCTCTCCAGGTCTTTCCCACATTTTCCTAATCCCTAGAGGCCTCTCAGTGTTAGTTACTGCCAGTCCCAGAAAGGACATAAAACTGTTAAGGTGAACTTCCACAGGTCACAAGCACATTCCTCTGGCTCTAGTGCAATTGTTTTATCATTAAAAATGATTGGGGGAAAAAGGCCTCGTTAAACTTCCTTCTAAGGTTTTGAATAATGGACTTTGTTTCCTCGGGGCAACATGGTCTACAGGTCACTGTGACGTTGTGTGACCAAACTAGAGCCAAAGAAAAAAAACTAGGCTTCAGTTCAGAGACTAATTCACCTGTCCTGTCTCAAACCAGGAATGCCCTGCACACAGAGCTGGAATCACTCACTGCAAATAACACGGGTACAAAAGAAAATCGGCAAGGCCGGAATCTAGCGAGCTCAACACCTGCAAGAGTCTGTATTTGGGGAGGTAAGACTCAGTGAGTCACAAACCCGGAGGGCCGCTGGTGTGACAAATGGCATGCAGCCGGTGGGTCTCTGCAGTCTCCTACACGATGCAATTCAGCCAAAGCAGCAGAGGAGACTCTAGACCTTACTTTACTGTACCCATGTCAATGAACCTGTTTTCATGTGATTGTGGAGACTAAGGCAAACAAAACACAACAAAGGCTTACCTTCAAAGAGGGATCCCAATTCATATCTTCCACTAAAAAAGTGTGGCAAGGCAAACACCAGTGCCCCCAATCCTATCATAAAGGATGCAAAGGCAAGCCAGCGGGGTTTGTGGCCCCTCTCGCCAAAGAACGATACAAATAAAGATAGCACGCAAAAGGAGATGTCATAGCTGGATGATATCAAGCCAGTCAGTGAGCTCTTCATTTCATAGCGCTTCTCAATGGTGGAAATGCTAATATTTACTAGGCCATTTACTACAATACCTAGAAAAGAGCAAATGCATTGTTTTAGCTTCAGCATTCATACAATTAGCGATGGAAAGCACAGGGGGGGTGTTCTATTGTTCTTTTGCTATTTTTAAATGTGCCAATTTAAAAAAAAAAAAAAGTCTCAAATCTCAAAGTCAGGCAGTCCAAGCATGTTTCCTCCAAACTCATCTCGATTTTTCTAATGTAAAATTGCATGCTTTCATGTGTTCTACAAAAGCAATGTTGAATGACCATAATTTATCTGAACTCACTGAATTGTTTAATTTACAAATGAAAGCCAGACTGGTAACGTCCTATACAACCGGTTTGCTAGAGAACTCTTAAGTTCAGCACGCTCTACAAAACTCTCTGGGAAGAGGACAACAAGAACAAGTGGTCACTGAGGACCTCCTTAGTTTCTGACATACCACCTGTCTGTAACTACAGCTCACTCGGAGCTAGTTTCAAGAAGAGGAAGTAGAACTCTCAAATCTGTTTTTCCCCCCCAACACTTTCACAAACATTAAAAATAAACAAAAACTAAGTATCATTTTGATCACTAACATTCTAAAACATGTAAAATATAGAAGGCAAGGCTGCATACAGTCTACCTGCCAGTTTGTAAAAAACTTAATAAAGGATTAGTAGGGAAAGAAGGATGCATGTCCAGTGTTGACCAATTTTAAGATGCCTGTCTAGATATAGGTTAGATGCACAGATGCCTGTCCATGTATAGGTCAGATCCACAGGACAGAAATGTGGCAATAAGCTAAAACCTAAACATGATGACAGTTTTAGTTAAGTGTATTATTATTTTCATTATTAAGTTGAATATAAACATTTTATAATAACTATAGTCAGTCTTGTTGTTTTATCAACACAGAAAATGAAAGTATATTTTAACATAATTGGTATAACAACAGCTTTCAATGTCCTAAAATTGTGGTTGTTTGTGACTTTTGCTTCTCTTTAACACTATAAACTAATTGGTAATTTGGAGATTGTAAAATGACATGTGTAAAGCACCTAGAAATGACATTTACAAGGAAGTAGTTACCTGATAACATGAAATTCTTCCCATGCAAACATGGTTGGGCTAGGGTGTGGTGGTGCACACCTTTAATCCCAGAATTTAGGAGACGGAGGCAGGTGGATCTCTGTGAGTTCCTGGAGACCCTGCCTGGTCTCCAAAACAAAATAAAAATTAGTCACTAGCAATCATTGCTTTTACAGTAAGCCTTCATTTTTCAAATATGTGGAAGATAGTCTTTAACCCTATGAATCCCAAATTCTAGGCCCTACACATTCCAAGAGCACTGAATTTTTATCAGCTCAGAAAGAATGTGGACTATGCCTCACCTTTGTAATGTGCAAGGAGAGGAGGCTAGGCAAGATACCCACTGCCTTTGAGAAATGTCTGTTAAACTCCTTCCTCAATCTGTTTTTCCTTCCTAATCAAATGTCTATTAATATATATATGGACTTCCCAAGGGTAGTGAGGTGCACAGCAGTACGCTTTTGGCCACTGAAATAAAAACCTTGCTATAAATCAATATACTGGGCTATTTTCTTCTATTTTTCTTAAACCAGAGACATTTTTCTCTGAGAGCACCAATTCTATCTGATAATAACTTTAACAGTATTGTATATTGGATATAAAGTTGTCAGGGTAACAGAGAAATCGCAGAGCAGAATTTAAGGTAAAACACAAGATAGATTTTACTGTTTAGTTCTACGCTGCTATAGCAATGATGCACTAGCTTCAGATAACTACACCCAAGACATAATTAGAAAGAGAACTGGAGGGATAAGAAAGGTGGGAAGGAAAATAACCACAGCACAAATCCCCGGAAAGGAGCTGAAATCTACTCAGGATCAGCAAATATTTACTCAGCACCCAGAGGGTGAAAAGAAAGGATCACTAAGTTCCTTGAAATAGAAAGAAAATAAGAACAGAAGACAGGAGACTTCAGCCTAGTTTTTTATTAATTAAGCAAAGAACAATTTCCAGTAACTCTTCACTATCTCTCAGGTTGCATTCCTTCCAACCAGTCCTTGACTGTTACAAAATAGTTATGACTCAATTAGTGCCAAAATGTCTACATAGGAAATTCAGCTTAACTTTCAAACTACCCCACCTTCTGCCCACCCCTCCTCAGTTTATCTCTTTAGACTAACTTCCCATTCATTCCATTCCTTCCCTTGGAGGCAAACCAGCTTCATTCAACTTCTTCCTTTCTGCTTCCCCCTTCTACCACGCCTCTCACTCAGCGAGACTCGGTTCAAATTGCAAACTCCTGGGGGAATAAATCTAGGTTTAATCTCTTAGTCCCAAGAGGACTGCAAAGAGATCCTAGAACAAACAGACACTCGGTAACTCCTGTGGCCGAAGAGCTAATAAAGGTTCACCTTTCTGGGCTGGAGGCTTTTTCTCATTTAGTCACTGGGCTGCACTTGTGCCCACATTCTCAATTATACAGAAAATAAAAGTATCTACATGTAATCTATGTTACATAAAATCAGTGCACTCACATTTGCAAAACTCTTAATCCTTCCTCCATAAAAAAACCAAATAAACAAACCCCCTCCTAGCTCCCAGTGGGCAGAAGAGTTTTAAAATGCAGACCAGTCTTCCCAAAGGACGGTTCTCATAATCTTCCCTAGGGGAATCTACTCTGATAAATTGAGGCAGAAGACAAAATAGCAACCTAGCATGCCGGGTCTTAAATGATGCTATCTAAAAGGGAAGCTGGAAGTAGTGGACACGAGCCAGAAAGGACTTCTTTAAGTTCCAAGCCCCAGGGGTGGGGGTTGGGGGGTTACCTAGTGTCACCTTAACTACAGGGTCAATCTGGAGGGTTCCCCTGCACCTGCCTCCTCCTCTTCTCCAGTTCGACCCCACCCAACCACCAGCTCAGCCAAAGCCCACAGAAGCTGGCGCCGGACTTTACCTTGAGTGAGGGCCAAGAGGCAGTAATGAAGCAGAAAGCCTTGTGGTGTGTTGCAAAGCTGGAGACACCCGGGGTGGAAGTCCCTCCACCCGCATGGTCCCTCCTCTAGCTCGCACAGCTGTGATCCTGGCGGTTCATCAGGAGCTGGAGGAGTTGAAAAAGGCAGAGGTGGCTCCATTGACTTCTGGGGCTCCTCAGATTCCCGAGGCTGAGAATCCTCATTCTGGTTCCTGGAGGTCGCAGCAGAGACCTCCACCTGGGACGGCGAAGCAGACGCGCGGCGTGGGGTGTCCGGACTGGAAGGGACAAAAGCGGGGTTCTCGATTCCTTTTGCGCCGTGCATGGTCAAGAGGGGTTCTCTGGACTCCGGTGTCAAAAAAAGCAAAAGGCTGGTTCCTTTCCTGGCTCCGCCTCTGGGCAGGTGACAGCGCCCTAGGGCCAGATCAGTCTCCGCCTCCCGGCCCTCCCCCTCTGGCACATCGTGGCCACCGCGGCCGCCCGTACACTCCTGGTGCTCCTGGTCCTCCTCATCTGGAGGTGCCGGCGCTGCTCTCCGCCACACCCGTCGCAGCAAGTGACAACCTTAAGGATCTGCGTGGGCGTGCGCCACAGCCTCCGCCAGGTGAGGAGAGAAGGCGGCAGTATCGTGGCTGCGAGGGTGGCACTATCGTGGATCTCGATGCAGTGCTCTTTTCCCGGAGCCCAGGGGCCAGTGACTATTTAAATAGAGACTGAAGGAGTTTGCGGACCATCGCTCCCCCTGGGCGTGTATATGAAAGCTGCAAACACAGTTGCGTCAGGAGACCTTTCAGGAAAACCTGCTTCTACTTTCTCTTTTGTTGCTTATCGAAACAAGAATCCTGTCCTCCAAGAATCAGGGCCGCCCTCAGGTATAATAGTTTGAATTCCATCAACACTGTAATGGGACTTTCATCTGCCAGCCTTCCTGCAAACAAATCCTTCTGTATTACTGCCCACATAGGCAAAGCTATGGCCGCCTTTTTGATTTTAGTTTCTCCAAACTGAAGGAATAATAAAACTTAAAATTAAGTCACACTGGCATTCTCTGGACAGCGTATTGCAAATCTAAAATGGAAAAATGATCATCATGCAAATAATGCATGTATGTGAAGCAAGCAAACAAACAAACAAAAAACCGGTTGGAAGACATGAATATTGTTGCATGATTGACAGTAATTCCAAACTATTTATTCATTATTTCATTGATCATCAGAAAAATTTATTTCCTGTGTACTAAAGACTGTTGCATTCAGTAGGAGCACACCAGCCAAGACAAAATGGCAAATACCACAAAAGTTGTGGTGCTCATATTCCAATAGGAAGCAATCCCTAGTAATACGTACACCGAGCCCTACACAATACTACGATAAATGAGCTCTTGTGAAGTCTTAGTTTTGATTGTACATGCTGTACTGAGTGGGCTGAGACACTGAGATGTAAGCTTGATATATTACTTTGAACATTCAAAAAAAAAAAAAAAAAAAGTCCACATTGTCATTAGCCCTGGAGGAGAGCAGAGATAAGAACTGTTGTGTCCCGTTACTGGTCCTTAAATAAGTGTAATTACTACGGTCACACATTGAAGAATCTGTGCCCTAGGGAGACTCAAAAGCCCTCCCAAGGCAGCATGCTGACAACAGGCCTAATATCGGAGGGGACCTGAACTCAGTTCTCCCACTTTGGACTTCACATTATCTGTCCTTTAGCTACCTCAGCCTACTTGTGATGGTTAGATTATTGCATTAGCCATTCCCAAAGATCAAAAGCAACACTTAGCCCAGTGTAGTGCCATACACTCTTAGTCCTAATACTTGGGGTACAGAGGCAGGCAGATGTCTTGAGTTCAAGGGTATCGTGATCTACATAGTCAGTTTTGGGACTGCTGGAGCTACATAGAGAGAGAGCCTGTCTCAAAAACAAACAAAAACCACATGCTTCTCTGATAAGAGATTTCAAACATAAGAAGCTGTGGATGTTCAGATTCTGGGGGAGTTACCTATGCTATGTAATCCCCTGAGCCTAAATGAATTGAATTTAAAATGGATCTCAGTATAAATAGAAATCAGAATGTGAAGTAATTCACCTACCCAGAAAAGCTGGATTGAGGAGGTTTGGTTAACTACAGCAATGGTTAAATTTGAATGAAAAGATTCAAAGTATCCTACTCCAGTCAGAGTAGTAGCAACAGTACAGGTTTAGACTTAAACTAAGGACTCCTCATTCTCACAGTGTTTATCAGGGGAAGTTTGCTCAAAGACTAGCAAAAGTGTTGTTTCTTCATCTTGAATACACATTGGTGTTTCTAAAAGTGTTACCAACATCATTTTCCTGTTACATTATATTCTTTGTGTTGCAAGGTTGGGGGGAAGGAGATTGAAGTGTGCTGTAAAGATGAAAAATGCTTTCTATTATAAGCAAGCATCTTGGTTATGGGGTGCCCTCACAGCAAAAGAAGAGTAACTAAGACAATATAGGAGTATTTTGCCTGTATGTATGTATGTATGTATGTATGTATGTATGTATGTATGTATGTGTATTACATGTGTTACTGACACTCCCAGTGAGTATGAGAGTCTCTGTAACTGGAGAACTGGAGTTAAGCACAGTTTTAAGCTAATATGTGGACACTTGAAAGCAAAACCAGGTCCTTTGCAAGAACAGCAAGTGATCTCAGTCTGGGCCAACTCTCCAGCCTCTCCACCCAAATTATTACAACAGAATTGTGTGCATGTGTGTCTGGGTCTGTATGTGTTTCTCTGTGTGTATGTGTTCATCTCTATGTGTCTAGCATCAGGCACTAAACTTAATATTTTGTGAATTCTAGTACAACGTCCTAAAATTTTCATATCATACAGTATCTCCCCACATTTTCCAGGTTAGCTTTGAATTTGGAATCATTCTGCCTTGGCCTCCAGAGTTTCTGGGATTACAGAGTCATGTGTACTCTCCCAGCACCATGGAGTCTTATACTAACTAAACAAAGACAAGGAAGTAGCCTAAGTGCTCACAGTATCCTTCATTTATCTCTTCCATTTAAGTATTTCATACAATGTATAATTGAAGACAGTGAAACAAAGATATTGGTGTTTATCTACATAATTTTAATACTATAATTGCAGAGATATGTTTATATTAAGAAGAATTCAGTTATATATTTTTTAAATGTTTGCTTGTCTTCAGGGCTAAACATTTGATGTATTCTCTTCTGTGAAAGACTGTTTCTTCTGCATTTGGTGTATTCTCTTCTGTGAAAGAAAGACTGTTTCTTCTGCTCTCAGCATTCCTTAGTTGCCTGTAGTTCTTTGTGCAGAATTGAGGCCTTGTGGGTGTGCCTCCGTCCACTTTGGCATGTCTATTGTTGTCCTTGTTCAGCTCATGTTTAGACAGTATTGTTGGTGAGACTTTATAGGCCTAGCTTCTGACATTACTAGCAGTCTTGCCGCAAACTCCCCGATCCTCTCTTACAATCTCTCCAACTCCTTTTCCATTGTTCCCTGAGCCTCAGGTACAAGGGTTCTTTTGTAGACTTAATACTGCAATAGCACAGAGACATAGTTATATTTAAAAAAAAACTGTAATTTTAAAAAGTTTTCTTGTTGAAGTGTGTGTGTGTGTGTGTGTGTGTGCGTGTGTAAGCGATTGAAGAAAAAGAGGTCATGAATTTGAAAGAAGGAAAGAGGGTTTCATGGGAGTGTTTGGAGGGAAGAGAGGGAAAGGAGAAATGATGTAATTATATTGATCTCAAAAATAAATAATTATAAATTTTTCTTTATCTTTGAAGATTTCATACACATAGGAGAATGAAATATGATCATATCTACTCTTCCCCCCTCCAAATCACCATATGCCCTCCATAATAACTTTTGTCCCAAGCCTGTCTTTATTTTTCTCTCTAACTCACTAAGTCCTTTAATGCTACCCACCATAGAACCTTTGACCTTATCCTCAAATGAGAATGTTTACTCACTCCAAAAACAGTCATCAACTGCCAATTGCTACTCAGAAATTACACGAGGCTGGCTTGATTTTGTGGAGCTCTTGTAGGTTCATGAGGGTGAAAGCCACATCATGCCCATGAGAAAATTTCACAGCACACGTCCCTATTTTTTCTGCCTCTTGGGCTGTGATATTTCCTGATCTGTGATGCACGCTTGTGGGGAGGAATTAAAGTTGGTGTCCTGTTTAAGGCTATGTGTCCAGAGTCTTGTTCTCAGCACATTGACCAGTCATGCATCACTCCATTGACTGTTGCCCACTGCCGAAGCTCTTTGGAAGGGTGAGAACAGGTGAGATCTGTGGGTATGAACATAAGGGTTTAAGAGGTAATTGGACATCATGTCTGTTTAACAGAGCAACAAGCTTTAACAATTGCAAGCTCTACCAAGCCATGGGCTTGTGACCAGGGTTACATTAAGCGTCTTCCCTACTCTATACCATTCTGAGCAACAAAAATATTAAGAATGACTCCATTGACTAGAGAGACAATATTAAAACAAAAAGAATTGTTGCAACTTACTACATGAATCTGACTAAACAAACTATTATACTTTATGAAGGAAATATGGTGGTAAAATTAACTCAGACCAAGCTGAGTTGGCAAAATACAACAACTGGCTTTTTTTGAGCAAAACAACTTCTAGGTGGCTTCTCTCATCCCAGAGATGAGGTTAGAGAATGTGGGCCCACAAAGGCAGGGAGACTTTATTAGTTGCAGGTGAGGGGTGATGGCATGTCCTCCACAAGCTGGGTGTGTGCTCAGCACTTTAGGAGGGGACTTGGACAGTTGGCAATTGGCAATTCCAAGGGAAGACACTGCAGTAGCTGCCAAGAATATAAAACTGGGGGTTTTTGGAGCCTTTCTTTTGTTTGAGATTCTCCGAGTGGGTGGGGTTTGAGGAGAGTAATGGGCTTTTCCATCATGCAGGGGCAAGCTGGAGGTTCCAAGGGAACTTCTATTTGTTATAATTCTTTTTTTCTTTTACAATAGCTTCAGAATCATCTCTCCCCCCCCCTCATTTCAGTAAAATCAAGAACATAATATCCTTTTGGATACTGGGTGTTTTTGTTTTTTGTTTTTGTTTTTATTTATTTATTTCCAGACAGAGTTTCTCTGCAGTTTTAGAGGCTGTCCTGGAACTTACTCTGTAGATCAGGCTGGACTCAAACTCACAGACCTCTGCCTATATCTGCCTCCCAAGCGTTAGGATTAAAGGCGTGCACCACCATGACCTGGCCCTTTTAGATACCTTTGAAGACAACATATTGAACATATAAAACTTGTGTTTCCTATTACGTGATTCTCATAAAAATGTATCAAATATATATCTTCATAAACACAAAACATAAA